TAAAGTGATTGCGCTTCCAACTGCTGCAAAGGTTACGCCAGGTATAGTCTGTTTCGAACGAGATGGCCACCTCATGTGCTTTCAACGCCCCAGTGTGCGAAAGTACATCTTTGTCGAAACAGGCTATACGCCAATATGTAGTAAAAAGTGTCTTTTTTTTTACAACAATTCAACATTTCAAACAACAGTGGGGTAAACGCTTATGTGATCATCAACTGATATTAACAAACCTTGTCGACGAATGTGCAAAACTGCGTTAATAATGGGTTATCGGAACGATTGGGACGCTTTGATACTAGAGGCGGTGGACGTTTGATGTGGTTGAGCTGAAAAAAAAGAAAAGAATGGCTGTTAATTTAGAATAAGATTAGAGTAACTATGGCTGCAGATAGCTGCTGCAGGCGCTAAGTGCCCTTATCAAAACCTATACGTAAGCTTTTCACCTCATTAATCACATTATTAGGTGTAATATTACGTTATACGGCTGCAATGAGCGACAGTAGTGGCGCGGCTGCGTTGCGTTTTCTCATGTGATTTTTGCAGCTGCAGGAGCATAAGAGACTAACCTCTCCTCTGTATACATTTACATGGGTGACGAATATCATTTGGCTCTGTTGGGTACCGATGGCGTTTAAGTCTGCCTAAAACAATGTTCTACTGTAATTATTCACGTAAGATTAAGGAAGTCTTGTTGATGTTAGATTCTGTAGTTTTATTGAAGAAAAAAGAACGAAAATCGTATACCTACATTCATTGAGAAGTCGAAATCATCAAGTTCAGTTGGCTTTTTCTTGTTTAGCACCACTAACAATGGTTTTTTGGCTGTATCCTTATGTAGCTGAACCTGAAAGAGTAGGTACATGCTTTAGAAAATGTGATGTATAAGTACCAACTTTTGCAAATTGGACGAAGCGCAAATCGGTCGCGTACATTCTAGCGGCGCATTCGTAAAGTTCGCCATCGTCAACCTTTTTTTTCGTGGCGCATATTAGAAATACCATTTAGAATTACCGCATGCGACCAAATTGCATGCCAGATACGACATCTGAAGCGCCCCCGCCTTATTATAAAATTCAAAACCGTACCTTGCGTAGCATTTCATAATTTTCGTCTAGACGATCTTCGTCTGATATGTCGACGACGAACATAATTCCATGTACCTTAATAACTTAAGAATTGCACCATTAAACAAAATTTGATATTTCATTAAAAGAAATATAATATCACTGAAGTACGTAAATGCACAAAATGACTTAGTTTATTTGCAAAACGTATTCTAAAGAAAG